ATAAATACATAAATATGTGTGTATATATATATATATATATGCTCGCTATGTATAACACCGTATACGGTTTTACCGTACACCCGGCCCTTGAGGAGGCAGCGAATCATCTCCAGCGCCCGTCTGTCTCGGCATCGATGCGCCTTTCCAAGGTCTCGGCGGGGATTTGAAGTGGCAGATCGGGGCTGAGGTTTGAGGGTCTACTTTAGACTCTAGAGTCTTGGGTTTAGGGTTTAGGGTATAGGGTTTACGGTTTGGGGTTTGGGTTTTAAGGGTTTAGGGTTTAGGGTTTAGGCTCTGGGGTTTAGGGTTTAGAGTTTGGGCTGTAGAGTTTAAAGTTTTGGAAACCCTCGATTCTTCCGCGCGGTCTTGAAGTGCTTTCCCGGGGCCTCATCGACCTGTTTTTCACGTGGCAGGTCGGAGGATGTCGGACATAAACGAATCTAGCCAACCCGATGGTGTTTGTCAACACTATCGTCGTGCTTGAGTGCTATCTGATCTTACTTGAGGTTCTAGCAGCAGACGTTGAAAGCTGCAGCAGCAACTCTGTACCTGTTTCGCCGAAACGCTGCACCATCCAAACCCTGACCTTCAGCGAAGCCACGACCATAAAAATCCGACATCCGCAACGACCTGGGCTTCAGGCATCGGTTTGTTCTATTCTATGTTCGGATGATGCACACTATTCAGGTCCTAGGGGTTTTCTTAGGGTCTTCGAGACTTCGATGGATGTTCGGAATGAGTAAACCTGCTGTTCTAGAGTGGCTGGCACGCCTGAACATTTCTAAACTGACCCCAAGGAATCAGTCTAATGCACGGGCCGAATTACCAATACTATTTTGGGGGTTCCTTAACATGAATATATCACATCGTTCGAACTGCGTGTAGTTGTCGCTTCGAGCGATGGTGCTCGGCAGTTTCTTTCGCCGCAACAACAAAACGTACTGAAGTGTCTTCAGCTCTGACTTATAAAAACTCTAAGGGTCCATGTACGCACAAGGGTTCCTTTAAGGGGTCCATTAAGGGTTCTATAGGGTTCTATAGGGTCCAAGGTACCCCAAAAGTCTATACTTTGGCCTTAATGTAGTCCATATAGGTACTTCGGGGCCAAGGCATATACTATTCGGGTACATGGACCCTTAGGGAAAACTTAGAAGACTGCATGCCTGATTAATCGAGTTTAGGGTTTAGGGTTTACAGTAGGGTTCACATGATTGCTACGACTCGTGGCTCCATGTGCATCAAGTCCCCGAACCATGTAGCTGTCTTCAAGTTTCCATGTTCACTCCCGAACCAGCGAGACTAAGCTCTAACACGAAAGCCAGAAGCCCAAAGCCCTAATCCCCAAACCCTAATCCCCAAACCCTAAACGCCAAACCTTAAACCCTATAACCTAACCCCCCAAACCCTAAACCCTATACCCTGAACCCTGAACCTTAAACCCTTTACCCTAAACCCTAAACCCTAAACCCTAAACCCTGAACCTTAAACCCTATACCCCAAACCCTAAACCAAAAGAGCTACTCGCTTTGTGCAGCCCGCCTTCGAAGCGCTCCACCGCCTCGTTTGCATCGCGAAGGCGTGGACAAAGGGTCTAGGGTTTAGGGTTTAGGGTCCAGGGTTTAGGGTTTATAGTTTAGGGTCTAGGGT